ATCACTGAAAGATCAGGGCCAGTACAAACTACACAGCCCTTGGGCTTTCATTAGTTATGTAACTCACTTCTGGGATCTGTTTATTTAGGAAAAAAAAATCATTTGTTAAATTCTTGCTTTATGTCTGGAATACAGAGATGAGCAAATGACAACTCCTGCCTTTAGAGAGCTTGTAGTCTACTGGAGATAACCTAAAAGTTAGTGCCACTTTAATTCTTTTATTCTATTGTATCCCAAATGAGGAAGGTGAGGTTCTGTTTGGCTTTCTGTGGATCATGGTCCTCTTCACCACATAGTTCTGAACCCTTCAAGCACATGACTTGTTCCCTTGACAGAGACCAGAGAGAAAATTGGAACCCAAAATAACTCAGAAGAAGTAACCCCCGTGCCAGTTTCCCCGAATTGTACCCATTCTTCTTGTTAGATGCACTGGGCTTCATCTACTGGGGATTTAGTATATTTCCTTTCTGAGCCTGGTTCTGGGTCTCAAGTCTAAGGCATGGGGTTAGCAGGAGATGTAGATGCAGGTGAAGCTGCAGGAGTAGGAGTGATCCTTTATTTCAGAAAGGCCTGTTTTCATCATTTTGTGTAGAAGTCCCTCTTATGACACCAGGATTTGTGCAGTGCAGATGGCTCAGGAGATGATCTTAGCTAGTCCCTGAAGTAGCAAAGACCCCATTTGGGCTGAAGTTATAGGGATCTGGAGCCAGTTAGCAGGGCACTAGTGGTCTTCCAGGGCCCCAAGAGATCAATCTGGGGCAGAAGAAGGATAGAACAGGTTCTAGATTCCATCATAACCCCAGAACAGGGTCTTTGTGCTGCCGTGAATGGTCTGGGCTTGGTTTGTTACAGAGAAAGAGAATTTTCCTGTACAAAGGGTCCTGGGAACCCGGTTATGACTGGCAAAGCCTCTGTGTGGGGGACTCTACACTTAATGCTAAGGGCAGAAAGGGAAAACTCATAAGTTTTGCTCTGTACAGATAGGAAAGAGTGGAGGTCCGACAGCAAGCAGTAGATGGAGCTGCAGGAGAGATTTAGGGAATGGAAGCTAACAGTACTGACCAGTGGGAGAGATGAACAGTGGGGAAGTTATAGCCAACCTTTGTTGTGCTCACCAGTATTCTTGTTTGGTTAGAAGAGGGAGAAGGGCTTTCCATAGGATGACGACAGAAGGGGTCCTAAGCACTGTCTGAAGATCTGTACTGCGAAGCCTCTGGCTGGTGCACTTGGCTGTGTCCTGTAAACAGGCCCAAGTACTTTTGGCCACACAGGGAGCCTTTACTTGCTGTCTCCAGTTGACAAAAGTGAGTCCCATCTGCCCTGTGAGTGATAAAAGGGCACAACTCCCATGTACAGAGCCCTCCAATAGTGTCTGGATCTTCACCTCTGCTAGCTCCAGTTAGTACACCAAACCAGTGCTCAGGTATTATTGACTTGATTTACAAAGAAAGGGGCAGCTAAGGCTTTGAGAAGACACACTTGTGCAAGGACTCATGGTTGTAAACAGCGGGGCCAGGATCTGGAGGCATCCTTAGCTCCAGGTGAGGGGACCTTTTCTGGGCCCTGGCCAGTAGAGGGCCTTGCTCTCTTCTCTTCCTCTTTCCACCCAGAACACTGCCTCCCATGTATACCATGTTCCCGGTACCCAGACTCTGGATTCTTCTGTGCAAAGAGCCCCAAGCCCTCTTCTGAGTCTTCATGGCACCCTTGCTTAGTTTCTTCTTCCACCATGTGTTCTGCACTGCAGGTTTGCACAGCCCCAACTCTGAGAGGAACCAGAGGCTAGTTGTTTGCAGGGATTGTGGACAGAGCTTAAACACGTGTGGATACATATGAAAAAGTCCACCTGCACATCCAAAAGCCTCTGTCACATTGCTGGGTGGAGCTTAGGTGGTGAAGATGGAGGACAAGGCCAGTAGGGCTCTCGCTGGATAGTCAGATTCCTGCCCAGGGATCCAAGAACTGAGGATCCCAAACTTGAACTTTATGATAGAACCGTTGCAAAGGTCTCTTTGCCAAAGTGGGAAGATAGAAAGTGCTTCAGATAATTGTGGCTTGATTTGTCATCTTTATGTTGACATGAGGATCATAGACCTCCCTGTGTGCTGTTGCTCAAGCCCTTCCAGTGTGGGGCAGGGTCCCTGTGGGCAGCTGTCTCCTGACTGATGTCTCCTCCCCCTTTGCCCTTCATTCACTATGTTCCTAAAGGTTTGGAGAAAGGGGGACAACCTTGGCTACTACAGTCACCCACTAAACTTCCCTTCAGTCACAGGTGGTGGTGAACAGATGGGCTGCAGGCTTTGTGACAGCTCTATAGGTTTCTACTTCTTGGCTATTGCAAAATGTGGCCAAGAAATGTTGTACCCAACAGCCACATCTCAGGGGAACTTCTCTCATTCCTCAAGCCCTTCCTTATACTCCCTCTACCTTCCCCAGTTCCACTTCACTCCTGGGCCACCCCACTTTTTACTGAGCATTTCTCAATCCCTCTCTTTTTCTTGAGGTTCCCCTTACTTGCACAGGTGACCACTTTAGTGATTGTAGGGACCACTGATCTCTTCCTGAGGACTTGACATTTGCACTGAGGATTCTTAAATCCTTCCTTGGCCAGTTGGGATTTGATGGCATGATGTCTGACTCTGTGAGAGTTGCACTCATAAAATGATGCTTTTAAAGAAACCTAAATCCATTTAAAAGTGAACCTGAATCTCTTTCACAGTGGATGTTTCCTTTCCTTATAAGATGTGTGTGTCAGTGTGCAGAAATCTAGGTGTACCCTTGCAGAGGTAAGCACTTTGTCAACGTATGTGTTTGGGGGGATGGAGTGGTGCAGTCCCTTGTACTGAGTGCCTTACTTGCTAAACCCTGCCTGTATTTTTTCCAATTCTGCCAGTCAGCCCAGCACCAGCACAGCCAGAGCAGACCAAAGCCAAAACAGGATTTGAGGTTTCTGGTCCCTGATCCTCCCAGGTCTGTGTGAGGTTGGTTGCAGCTAACGCTGCTACATATGAAGTATTTCAGGGCCACAAAAATGTGGCATGTCTGAGAATAGCAAGCTAGTGACTTTTAGGAGGGTTAAATCCAGCCATGGCTTCACAGAGCCATTGTAGGCTGCTTCTCAGCAGACCTCAGCTAACTTGACACCCATTTCTAACTCTTTAGCCCTGTTTCTTTCTGCAAGGGAATGTGAGCCAGCCAGCTGGTTGGTGCCACAAGGGCCACTGGTCAGTTTTCTGGTTTTCATTCATACTCGGCCATTCTTTCATTCTTGAATCTTCTTGATCTGTGTTCGCTGGAATGGATCTCTGACTGGCCCACATCAAAGTCCCTCCTGGAGGAGACTGACTGGCTCTGTCAGTCTTTCTTGCCTCTTTAGCCTCCTTTTGTTATGACTCTTAAGGAGTAAGAGAAGAGCGGCTCTCAGACTGGGCAGTTTGCTGGCTTGATGGTAGTACTGCCTGGAGATTGCAAGTTGTGAACTTGGGCCAAAGCCAGATACTGAGTTAACTGGTAAATAGATTTCTTCCCTTCCTTGGCTGTGCATAAGAGAACACTGAGCTGCCAGTGGGTCAGCCCAGTGACGGCATCGGAGCCGTGGCTTTTTCTTTCCCTCTTCCCTGGGGTCACTGACTTCAGTCTTCAGACCCATGGAACTGTTCATGACCTTACTTTCCACCCCTCCTTCTGGCTCTTCACATCCAAGAGGAGACGTAGGTGGGATTTAGACAGATATAGGTTTGTAACCAAGCTTCATACCTTACAGTTTGGATAAACAATTTTATTTTTCTAAACATCAGTTTTCTTGCCGGTAAATTGGGATCCGTGGGAGAAGGAGCTGGAAGTTTTCAGCCTAATCTGACATGGCAATGAGTTCCCTTGCAGAGGCAGAAGCCACCAAGTTCACCTGAGGCTGCCAGAGCACACTGAGAGTTGACTCTAGAACTATGACACTCATGGTTTCACTGGATTTCTCCCAGGGATTAGTTTCCAGCCCATTGCCCAGGAAGGCCTGGAGTTTCTGCCATGCTCTGGGTGGGCATCTGCCCTGGTCAGAGCCTTGAACTTCTCTTCCCTGTGCTTTAGCCTTTGCCTGTTAACAGTGTAAATCCAACTGATCAGAAGACATAAATGTGAATCTTACTTTGCCATGTACCAGTAATGCCAACAAGCACAGTCAATTATCATCTCTGTCTCTTGACTGCCTGGCTGCATACTATGTTTTTGGGCTGCTGTGAGACTGTAAGATAAATTCAGTGAGGACCAACCACATGGGACATTACAGTGATAGCTACTGATATCCATATGAGCATATTAGAAACCTACTCCTACATAGTTTTAGGCTCTCTCTGGACTCAATATTATTACCTATAAAAGGAAGGGTCTGGGTTAGTTGACATTCTCAGAGTGATTCCCAAAAGCTCCTATGCTTACAGGATTTGGTAAGTGCTACATTTAGAATTTTCCTTGCTGTGCTCCATAGGAAGTCTGACAAAATTAAATCTATTTAAAAAGGACTTGGGGAACAGCTCAGCAGACTAAGCACCTGCTTAGGTCAGCTTAGCAGACTAACTTCCTGCTTAGGTAAGTGCAGAGACTGGAGTTCAGTCCCCAGCACCGCATGTCTTGTTGATCCTGCTCTGAGGGCATGCTGAGCCAGTGTGGTGGTGCATGTTTACAACCCCAGCACTAGAGAAGCTGAAAGCAGGAGGATCACTACAAATCTGAGCTGTATAATGAGGTCCTACATAAAATACATAAAAAACAATTAATTTTGCTTAACCTAGACTTTACTAACTTGAAAATGGAACTTCATTATTATGACCACAATTACTACTAATATCATTCTATGGTGATTTGTTTTAATTGCCTATCATGAAACTCACCCTGGAAAATGGCCAGGTGAATAGATGAACAGGGACCCCAGCAGCTTGTGTTGACACTGATCAAGCACTTTGAGGGCCTGGTGTCTCATAGCCCACACTCTGCTTCTGTGTCTCTAGGTGCCTTCCTGATCCCATACACCCTGTTTCTCATCATTGCTGGGATGCCTCTGTTCTACATGGAGCTGGCTCTGGGGCAGTACAACCGGGAGGGGGCAGCCACAGTGTGGAAGATCTGTCCTTTCTTCAAAGGTAAGCAACCAGCCTGGAAGAAGTCAAAGGTTTTCCCCAAATTCTTCCATATTGACCCAAGGAAATCTGCTCCAAAGGTGTGATATAAGATAGACCAATTCTCTTGTGAGATTCACAAGTATTGATAAGGTCAAGAGCAGCCACTATTCAGAGTCACACAGAGAGTATTTTGAGTTGAAAATAGCATAGAAAGTCTGGAAACCTGGACTTCAGTGACAGCCTCTGCCAGCTATGTGACCAGAATGACCCTATTTTTATGCATGGGAAATACTTAGAAAAGTGAAGAACTACCCAACATACATCCTTCTACTCTCTCTTCTTGCCACCATGGCAGGCATCATAAATTGATGTTGGATCTTTTCAAGCTCACACAGAAAGCTGCTTCCCATGAAATTCTTAATACAACAGCCAGAGCTGATTGATTACACCTGGGATCTCAGGTGAGCCTACTTGCGTTTGGATCTTAGTAATAGTCATTCCTTCGCTCTGGACAGCTGGAAGCACCAAGCAGGACTTAGAGCCTCCCAAGCAGAGGTTAGAGAGCCAGTGACAATGAGGGCAAATGTGATTTCCTACAGCCTTCTCTGAGCTTCAAGCATCTAGAAGTATGTTCTGTATACTTAGTACTATAGTAAATATAGGCTGGTGCACACATCTTACAGGACATATATATTATTATCTTTTGTGTTTAATTGCTGTAAATCCAGCTCAAACTGACATCAATATAAAAGGGACTGTCTTAGCTTACATTAACAGTGAAATACAGGGCTAAAGTCAGGTACAGTTTATTTCAGATGCTCAAATTATATTGTCTGGAACTTCTCTCAGAATCTCAAGTCTATTTTCTTCTATGTTAGGTTCATTCTTAGATATGTTGTCAATTGTTAGCAAAGATGGCCATAAACAATTGTAGACTTAAATCCTACCAAGTTTAACAAAAATACCTTATACATTCATGGCTTCGTTAGCGGTCCTAGAGAAGGTTCTCATTGGTTTGTCTCAGATTATATGCTTATCTATTAACCAATCATTGTGGATACAGGGAAGTGGCTCTCTGACTGGTCATGCCTGTGTCATGTACCCATGACTAGACAAAGGTTTCAGGCAATTACTCTTGTCCAGACCTCACAGGCTATGACTTGCTTAAGGATAATCCCTTAAAGCAATGCTGGGTAGGCAAGAAAAATATTGTCTTCTCTATGATAAAGCCACAGAACTAGTCTTAATGGAACTTCTCATACATTCAGAAAGGTAAAATATTTGCCATGAAGCAGGTGATTAAGCAAAGGAGCCACAGAGCAAACTGAGTGAGTTGATCTGGTCAGGGTCCCCTGGAGCTCACTCACTCTGATTGGTGAGTTCTTGATTAGGGTTTTCTGAGAAGATCCTGAAGCAAGGACTTAAGAGTATCAAAGTTATTTGGGGAAATGGTTCCAGGAATACAGAAGGAGAGGCAGCCCATAAAGGGTATGTCATCAGGTCATTTCTACCCTGGATGAGGAGACAGAATATGAAATATTCCACCATGTTTTTCTGGACAAGGTGTGAGGGAGTTAAATACTCCAACTCCTGACACAGCTCTCCTGCTTGCTGGGGCATGACTCCCAATAGGTGGGGAGAGAGGGCTCCTGGGCAAGAGAGAATCAGAAAATGGGATGGTGGGTGTCTGTGGAATGTGGCAGGACTCTGACATGCTACCACAGAAAAGGTGAGGCTTAGATGTCAGAGAACACAGTGGTTAGAGCCAACTCCTCTAGGGTAATGGCTCTAAGGCTGGGTCTAGGGAAGCCAAAGTTCTGTATCCCCACACAGGAGTTGGCTATGCTGTGATCCTCATGGCCCTCTATGTTGGCTTCTACTACAATGCCATCATCGCCTGGTCGTTCTACTACCTCCTTGCCTCCTTCACTTTGAACCTGCCCTGGACTGACTGTGGCCATGCCTGGAATAGCCCAAATTGCACTGACCCCAAGCTCCTCAACAGCTCCGTGCTGGGCAACCACACCAAGTACTCCAAGTACAAGTTCACACCGGCCGCAGAGTTTTATGAGTAAGTCACGAACTCCTTGTGTTGCATGCACTGAGGCCTGGGCAGGATCTGAACCAAACACCAAAGCAAAGCATGAGAGAAGGAAGTGGCACACAGGTCAGCATTCATGCTATAAACTGAGTTAGAGGACAGGGATGCAAAAGTGAAGGAGCTGCTGGAGTAGAACAGGAGAGTATAGAGGGAGAGCTGACAGCCCGGCACTCAACACAGGTGAGAAAGCCAGAAGATGTTAGAAATAGATGTGCCCTTCAGGATGAAATGAGCACGTTGGAGAAGAAAGCTTCCTTAAGGAATTAAACCAGGGATGTAGGGGAAGTTGACTATGGAAAGATAGAGAGCTTTAGCTGGGGAGGGCAGGAAGGCCTGCCAGACATGGTGACACAGGACCTGAGATGTCCAAGTCAACCTAACCATGCAGCTGTCCTCTGGCCTATCTTCTGCTGATGTCCTTTGAGGGCTTTCATGGGGAAAGTATTGGATCAGGAAAGCAAAAATTAAGGCAGGCCAGCACAGTGAGGAGGCTTGAGATATGTGATATGAGAAGGGCTCTGGTTGCTCCTGGAAGACAGCAGATTGGTAAAAACTAACCAAATGAGGAAAAAGTTAGGATGATTATATACATAGAAAAGTTGTAATGATTGTACACTTATTTGCCCATTTTCTGTTGTCCATTTTCTGTTGCCCATTTTCTCTAATGGTGAGACCTTATATAACTAGGAAACTTTTGAAGAATTTTGGCCAGTTGGTCTGGGAAATATCCTTCAGTTCAAGTTTGTTATTTTGTGATTAGATTGAGGATGTGCATTTTTGACAAGAAAAGCATGAAGATGATTCTTAATCTTTCTTAGTGCATCTTGATAGGGAGACATGATGTCAGCCAATATCATTACCTTGTTTTCATGTTATGGTTTTTATTTCATTATCCCTTCCAGATTAATTGATTGCCATATATATATATATATATATATATATATATATATATATATATCAGTATTGCTTCCTATAAATTTACTTTATTCTATAAAATAGTCCTTAACCATTGTTATTTTCACCTGTTGCCCTTTCCACTCTGTCATCACTTCTGCATCCTTGTATGTCTTAGAGGAGGGAAATAGTCAAATAGGTTTTAGTCACCAACTTTTAAATATTTACTTTGTGCTGTGTTGAAATTGTACCATCAACTATATCATCTGTCACCTACTCAGGCATAGGTGAGTCCCATGTGAGCAACCCCAATACAAATGTTAAAAAGCACAAAGTAAAGGTTATAAACTGTGAGGCAGAACAGATAAATCCCACTAGAACTCCAGCCTCAGGGTTCACAAGATCTAGAGCAAAATCTCCACACAATTCCACATATCTTGGGCCTTGTAGGCTACTTGATTCCCTGTTACAAGATCTTCTTGTTTAATTTTGCCCTTTAAATTAATGAAAGCCATTGGCTGACACATCACATCTGAACAGGCCATAATTCAGATTTGCCCAGGGGCCTGTGTAGTTTGCTGATTTCTTGAATATAGCAAAGTTTCCCAATAAAACTTTCTAAGATAATAGGAATGTTCTAGGTTGGCATAGTCTGACACAATAGTTACTCATGTGGTTTCCAAGCAGTCATAATATGATGGTCAGTGACTGATGAGCTGAAAATTTAATTTTATTCAACTTTAATGAATTTATACCTCACTAGATACATGCGACTGACCAGTGGCTACCACATGGGGAAACACAAGAATAGAGCCTGAAAAACATGTCAGGGACTCTCTGCTCCATCCTATGGATTTCCTAATCCAACTATCCAACACTGAGTCCTGAGTGTTGGGAATCTGAAGCTATCCTACAATCATTTCTATTCTTGCCATCTTGGTGCAGCAGGACCCAGGAGGGTTCGTTTAGTTAAAAATGATCTCTGGGAAATCTGGTGTCTCCAAAGTCACAGAGTGTCAGTGTCCTCAGGACACAGGAATGACCCTCACTGGGCCATCAGGGAGAATTTACTAAAGGTCCTTTCCAACATCTGTACGTGCCTCCATCTTCCAGACCTCCAGAAGACAGGTCCCAAATTGTATGGGCCCGTGGTTGTGCTCAAATGGCTCTCTAACTCTTCAGAGATCAAAACTACTCTTCTTATTTAAAGTTAACATCTGGTATAAGAAACCATATGAATTCCTGTCTTCTTCACTGACATACAAACCGCTAACCACTTACCAGGAATATCAGATCCTTTGCCAGCCTCTTCATAGGCATTAATTTGACTGAAGCCTTGTGCCAATGTCCTAAAGTCTGTGAATCATATCCTTCCTGTACACACAAAGAGGCTTCACAGATGAGACAAAAAAGCCCACAGCCACAAGGCTAGTTCTGTGCAGAGACAAGAGCTGGACCCACATAGCACTTTCCCTTGCTCATGAAAACCCTGAGACCGAATGTCTGGTTTAATGCTGAGTCTGGTGGCCTCACTCTCCTCACACTGGCCCCGGCCTTTCCCAGCAGCAAAACTGCAACATGTATCCCCTTAACCGCTGTGCTGTCTGTGCTATAAGTGACTATTATTATTGAGAGATGTTGCCAGTCAGACCTGTATTTATCCATTGCTTAGTTTTTTCTTTCTTTCTTTTTTGTCCTAGCCATGGTTCTAAGTACCTGTACTATACTATCTTTTAAAAAATGACCACTGTTGTCTAAACTTATTCTCATCTTCTGCATGGAGAAATGGACACAAAGTAAGAAATGACTCGTGCAAGGCCATCCAGGTTAGAAATGACCTTAAAGTGAGTTTTCACCCAAGTAGTCAGGGTTGAAGTTCAAGAGTTTCTGAACTTGGCTGCACACTAGAGTCAACTAGAGGGCTGTGAAACATACTGCTGCCTGGATCCTGCACCCCATAGACTTGGTCTCATATTTCTGGGCATAGACAGACGTGTGGATTTTTATTAACAGCTTTTCCCACAATTCCAATGGGAGCCAGTGTCAAGGGACTTGCCAAACTGGCACTCCCTTGTCTCAGACCAAGACAGCCATAGGGGTCATGTGAACATCTCTACAGTCTCATGTCATGGAAAATCTAGGGCCTCTTTCATTCATCTCCCAAGCAGATCCCAGGAATGTTAGAGAGCTTTCAGGTGGACGTATTAAGTCTTCCTATTTTATGAGTGTGGTTTAGACAGGGAGTTGGTGAGGGTGGAGGGCAGAGGGGCTGTCCTTCCCTGGGACTGGTTCCATGCTTTCTTTCTTATCCTCTCAGGGAGGAAAAAGTATGGTTTTTCTTTGGCTCTTGGCAATCTCAGTTCTTATAAATCAAAATAGAAATAGATGACTTGGTCACTTCTAGAGTTGTTAGTATCCCATTTCTGCTGATGTCTTTATGGCCAGCTTGTCTATCCCAGCAGAGACATCCAGAGGAGGGAGAGGTGAGCTGGGTTTGGAGATCCTGGTCATTTTGATTGCCAATTTCCTCCAGGCCCAGCTATGAGCAATATGTGGTGAAAGATAGGATAGCTTTGGCTGTAGGGACAAGGAGTCTTGGGGATTTTAGAGGGAAGAAGAGTGGAGCCTTAGATCTGCAGTCTTGTGCCCTAGACACCTCCCCTCTCCTCTCCTGCACTCATCCTCCGTGCCTGCAATCTTTTAGCTGCGCTGAACCAGGTCCCAGAATCTCTTTCGATCCAAATGCCATTTAATTCTCACAGATCACAAAGGTGGAAATTAGTCCCATTTTACATATTAAGAAATTGGAGTTAGAGGCATGTGGCAGAACCAGGATATGAAGTCAAATTGTCTGACTGAAGGCGTGCACCCATGTGCAGCCTGCCTTCTGCCTTTCTCTCCTGTCTTATTAGAGTGTCCAGTGGGGTAGTATTCTGGATAGGCAGACAGGGTTCTTTGCAGCCAGTGGTTAACCTATTCTTGCATCTCTTTCTCACCTTGGCCCTGCCTGTGTGTCTTACAGAGGTTGGCACTAACTCCCAGGCTGTCTCTACATTTCTCATGGTGCAGGGCTCTCTTTTGTCTCTGTGTTCCTGCCTTAAAACCACTCAACTCAGCTTGTTAAGCCAGAATTGGGACTTCCAGTGCCAACCCTGAGGTGATCAGATAATTTTTTTCTTCCCCAAAACCTCCTGGCCAATGCTGTTACCATCTTGTACTCATTTAGGGTAATAGAATGAATGTATCATTCAAGAGGACAAAATCCTATTCTCTCCAGGCTTCCAGCCTGAAGCCAAAGAGCCCACAGCTCAAAAGAGATTCTGAGGTTCTAACTTTATCTGGGAAGGGGCATTTGAGGGGAGCATGTGCCTGGCAGTAGAAAACGTCTCTCCCATGCCATCTCCTGGTGCAGGGCAAAGGTCTCCCATTTCCCTTGTGCTAAATCTCTGTGCTTTTAAATGTCAAGTGAAAGATTGAGCCTTTTTGGCCCTTAGGCTTTGGAAAGCCTGGATAGTTCCTCTAATGATGATTCATTTTCATTAAATTGTTGGAAAACTAAAACAAACCCAAGTTACTTGTACCAAACCCCATAGTTTGGGCCTCTGAGAAGAAGAGGCTAGATTCTCATTTCTTCTTCTGGCAGTAAGTTTTGGACTCAGGGAACTTTTTACTGAGGAAATATCTAGACTGAAGCTCTGAAGTGGCCTTCAAATGCATGTGAGGTCAGCCAGGCCTGGGAGGGTGCATTGGAGCCATCTGTTTAGTCAGTAGAAGAATTTTTAGAAAGCTTCAGGGCAAGCACTGGTGGTTTCGTGACTTTTTCATGATTTTAATAATGAAAAAAGGGAAATAATGATTAGTGCCATTTAATACTTGGTTCATAAAGCTATGGAAAGATGAAGAATTAAGCATCAGGGGGGATCAGGATGTTCTCTGTCTTTGAGTATGCCAAGCCACCCTTTCTCTTTCCTTTCCTTTCCTTTCCTTTCCTTTCCTTTCCTTTCCTTTCCTTTCCTTTCCTTTCCTTTCCTTTCCTTTCCTTTCCTT